TTCTTACACCATTTACAAAAATAAATTTAAAATGGATTAAAGACCTAAATGTTCGTTCTGAAACCATAAAATTCTTATAAGAAAATATAGGCAGTAGGTTTCTTGATATTGGTCTTAGGAATATTTTTTTTGGATCTGTCTTCTCAGGTAAGGGCTACAAAAGCAAAAATAATCAAATGGAACTACAACAAACTAAAAAGGTTTTGCACAGAAATGGAAACCATCAACAAAATGAGAAGGCAACCTACTAAATGGGAGATGATAGTTGCAAAAGGGGTTAATATCCAAAATGTATAAAGAACTCACACAACTCAACATCAAACAAAAACAAGTAAAAATTGGGCAGAGGACATGAATAGACATTTTTCCAGGGAAGACATGCAGATGGCCAATGGACATATGAAAACATGCTCAACATCAATAATTATCAAGGAATAGCAAATCAAAACTACAAGGAGATATTACCTCACACCTGTCAGAATGGCTATTATCAAAAAGACAACAAATAATGAGTGTTGGCAAAGATGTGGAGAAAAGGCAACCCTCATGCCCCGTTGGTAGGAATGTAAATTGGTGCAGCCACTATGGAAAACAGTATGGAGGTTCCTCAAAAAACTAAAAATAGAACTATCATATGATCTAGCAATTTCACCTCTGTGTATTTATCTGAAGAAAATGAAAATATAATTCAAAAATATATATGTACCCCTATGTTCATTGCAGCATTATTTACAATAGCCAATGTGGAAATATGGAAGCAACCTAAATGTCCATCTATAGACAAAGGGATAAAGAAGATGTGAGATACATATATATTATATATCTATGTATTATATATATATAAGAGAATATTTCTCAGCCATAGATATATACTCTATGTTATCACTTGCATGTGGAATCTAAAATACAAAACAACCCCTCAGGGGCAAAACTGCCCCTGGTTGAGAACCACTGCTTTTGACAAATTATTAAGCAGAGAGTATCTCATACTCCACTCTGAATCTGAATAACCACTGGCAAGAGATGATGATTCACAGAGACCATTTTAATCTTCTCATTAGTCATTATGATGCTTTTCCTATGCAAAAATAAAACTGACAACATTGCAAAAAATACAAAACAAGTGAATAAATAAAACGAAATGAAACAGACTCATAGATTCAGAGAACAAACTGGTGGTTATCAGAGGGAAGGGGAGTAGGGGGTTAAGCAAAACAAGTAAAGGGGAATAAGAGGTACAAACTCCTAGATATAAAATAAGTAAATCATAGGGATGAAATGTACAGCATAGGGAATATAGTCAATACTATTGTAATAACTCTGTATGGTGACAGATGGACTTAGACTTATTGTGGTGATCAGTCTGTAATGTATATAAATGCTGAATCAGTATGTTGTACAATTGAAACTAATATAATATTGTATGTCAACTATACTTCAATTAAAAAATAAAAAGGAGGCTTCCCTGGTGGCGCAGTGGTTGAGAGTCCGCCTGCCGATGCAGGGGACACGGGTTCGTGCCCCGGTCCGGGAAGATCCCACATGCCGCGGAGCGGCTGGGCCCGTGAGCCATGGCCGCTGAGCCTGCGCATCCAGAGCCTGCGCTCCGCAACGGGAGAGGCCACAACAGTGAGAGGCCCGTGTACCGCAAAAAAAATAAAATAAAAAAAATAAATAAAATAAAAAGGAAAAAATGGATAAGGTAAAATAAATAAATAATAAAAGAAAGAAATACATTAAATCTGTAACTAAAATCTATCCCAAAGAAAATTCGAGTATAGATGACTTTACTGGTGATTTCTGCCAAACATTTAAAGAAAGAAATAATACCAATCTTGTACAACCTCTTTTAAGGAATATAGAGAAAGCACTTCTTCCTAACTCATTTTATGAGACCAGCATAAGCCTGATACAAAAATATACAAGGAAATTACAAGAAAAGAAAACTGCATAAGTGTACTTCTTATTAATTGATACACACATTAGTATAAAATATTAGAAAATCAGATCCAGAGAATATATGTACTACGTCATGACCAAATTCGCTTATTCTAGGAATAAAAAATGGTATAGGGACTTCCCCAGTGGTCCAGTGGTTAAGACTCTGCCTTCCAATGGAGGCCGTGGGTTTGATCCCTAGCGGGGGAACTAAGATCCCACATGCCATGGGGTGTGGGCAAAAAAATTTTTTTAAATGGTTTAAATTTTGAAAGTTAATCAATATAATTTACTTCTTTAACAAAAAGTGAACATTAAGGCCATATGATTACCTCAACAGATACAAAAAGGCATCCAGGGCTTCCCTGGTGGCGCAGTGGTTGGGAGTCCGCCTGCCGATGCAGGGGACACGGGTTCGTGCCCCGGTCTGGGAGGATCCCACATGCCGTGGAGCGGCTGGGCCCGTGAGTCACGGCCGCTGAGCCTGTGCGTCCGGAGCCTGTGCTCCGCAGTGGGAGAGGCCGCGGCAGTGAGAGGCCCGCGTACCGACAAAAAAAAAAAAAAAAAAAAAAAAAGGCATCCAATTAAATTAACCACTAGTTCATGATAAAAACTCTCAACAAACTAGGAATAGAAGAGAACCTCTTTAATATGATTAAGTTTATACATAAAAAGTCTATTGCTCACATATTTAATGGTGAAATGTTGAGTGCTTTCTCCCTGAGCTCAGAACAATTCAAATACATTCGTTTTCATCATTTCTGTTAATTATTGTTCCATAGGTCCCAATTAGTGCAAAAGGGTACAAAACAAGAATTATGAGGTATAAATATTGGAAAGGAGCAAGTAAAAATGTAATTCCAGGTGACGTGGTTGTCAATATAGAAAAACTCAAAAAAATATGTACACTATTAGAATTAATAAATGAATTTAGGTAGGTCACTAGATACAAACTCAATATATAAAAATCTATTGCATTTCTATATATTACACTTGCAAAAACAATTAGTCAATAAAGTTTTAGATACAACACTATTAACAATAGCTTTGGAAACGGTCTAATATCTAGGAATGAATCTGATGAAAGACATGCAAGATTGCTAAACTGAAAAATACAAAACATTGTAGGGAAAACCACAGAACACTTAAACAAATAGATAAATATACCATGTTCATGGATTTGAAGACTCTGTTTTATAAAGACATCAATTCTCCCAAAATTAATTTATTGACTCAATGCAGTCACAGTCAAATTCCCAGCAAGGTTTTCTGTGGAAATTTATCAGGCAATTCTAAACTTTATATGGAAATGCAAGAGCCAAAAAATCAGGAAGAAGAAATTGTTGGAAGATTTACAATATCAGATACCAAGACTTAGCATAAACCTACAATATTTAAGATAGTGTGGTACTGGTGCAGTGATAGGTAAACAAACAGTGAAATAGAAGAGAGAGTCTAGAAACAGGCCCATGCCTATACAGTAACCTGATATACATCAAAGGTGCTACTGCAATTTTGTGGTAATGAGATTTTTTTTCAAAACTTGATGCTGGAGCAGTTAGATAATTCATACGTAACAAACTTTAACCCTATTTTATACCATTTACAAAACTTAATTCCAATTGGATTATAGGCCTAATATGAAAGGAAATCAATAATTTTCTAGAACAGAGGTTAGTAAATTTTTTCTGTAAAGTACAAGATACTCAATATTTTCAATTTTGTGGTCCACATGGTCTCCGTTGCAACTACTCAACTCTGCTGCTACAGCACAAAAGCAACCATAGACAGTACACTAATGAATTGGAATCGTTGTGTTCCAATAAAAATTTATTTACAAAAACAGGTGGCAGGCCACATGGGCCATAGTCTGCTGACACGTTCTAGAAGATAACATAGACGAATAATTCCATGCCCTTGGGGTAGGCAGCGATTTCTTAAATAAGACCCAAAAAACCATGAACCATAAAAGATTTATAAATTCTGAAATTCTATTTATCGAAGTACACCATCAAGAGAGTGAACCAGAAAGTCATAGACCAAGAGAAGATATTTGTGATATATATGCATATATATATATGCATGTTTATATACATATATCATAGATGTAGCATATATATCCAAAAAATATCTCATAGCCACAATATCTAAAGAATGCCAACAAATCAGTAAGAAAAAGATAAACAACACAATGAAGATAAACAGCTCAAACAAAATGAGAAAAGTCTTGAGTGGGAGTTTTAGAAAACAGAATATCAGCATGGACATAAGTACATGAAAAGATATTCCATATGATTAGTTATCAAGCAAATAAAAATAAAACCAGAATGTAATATCAGTATGGACTCATCAGAACGGCTAAAATGAAAAGAATTGACAATATGCAGTGGTAACCAGAATATGGAGCAACTGGAACTGGAACTTCCATATACACTAATGAAAGTGTAAATTGTTACAATTACCTTGAATCACTCTACTAAAACCTCCTCTACGACCCAGCAGTTCCAGTACTAGGTATATAAGAGAAATGCATGAATATCGCAGAAGGCATGTACAAGGCAAGCCATAGCAGTTTTCTTCCTAATAGCCCCAAACTGAAAATAACTCAAATGTCTATCAACAGAGGAATGGATAACTAAATTGTGGTGTATTCATACAGTGGGATACTATAAGCAATAGAAAAGAACTGATAACATGGATTAGTATAGTAGACATGATATGAAACTAAAAGAGCCAGACACAAAATTAGAACAAGCTGTATGATTCTATTTCTATGAATTTCAGGGACAGATAAAATAATCTGTGGTGGTGGGTACAATGGAGGACCACAATGGAGCATTCTAGGGAGCAGAAATATTCTACATCTTGATCTGGGTAGTGGTTACATGAGTAATACACGTTTAAAAATTCATTGGGCTATATACTTATAATTTGTGCACTTTAGTCTCAGTATGTTAAAACTCAAAAAAAAAACTTTAAAAAATCATAGAAATTTACAGGATATATTTTCACTGAAAGATTCAAACAACACTGAAATATAGAGACTAAAACATTAGTCTTACCTCTGTTTCCTGTCCCTCATTCTTGCTGTCCTCCCTAAAAAAAAACATTAGGTGATTCTACTTCCAAATTATTTTTTATACATTTACATGCACATATATATGTGCATATATATATATATATGTATATGCATATGTATGTGTAACATTAAAAAATTCACATCCACACTTCACAATAATTCTGTAATTTTATTTTTAGCCTAAAAATACATCTTTCAGCTCTTTCTGTCAAATACAGATCAGTCTCATTTTAACAGCTGCACAGTATTCTATTGTATCAATGTAACATAATTAATTCATTTCCCTACTAACGGATATATAAATTACTCCTAATTTTTCACTATTTGAAACAATGTTGCAACAAACTTTCTTAAAATTTCCTGGTGCACACAAACAAGTATTTTCTTTTTTGTGCACTATGAACAATTCTTTTGGCTGAAACAGTAGAAACAAAATTGCTGAGTAAAAGAAATTGTAGAGTAAAAATTTTGGTAAATTCTGCTAAATTGCTTTCTAAGAAAGTCTTACAAATTACATTCTGACCAACAGTATATGAAAATACCTGTTTCCCAACATTTTTATAAACACTAGATATTATCAATCTCTTACACATTTGCCAGTTCTAAGGGCAAAAAAAAAAAATGCAATTCACTGTTATTTTAAATTACTTTTTATTCATTATTTACATTTCTCCTTATGGAAGTGGTTATTTAGATCCTTTGCACATGTTTTTATTAGGTTGCTTATATTTTTATTATCAATTTTGGGGTGTTCTTTATTAAATGTAATAATATATATTTTGAAAATATTTTCTCCTGGTTTGCCACTTTTAACTTTCTTTTTCTTATCATATAGCATTAGCCAGGACTCTCAAAGCAATATTGAAAAAACTTTCATAGGAAAGCTTCTAATACTTCATTAGCTATGATGCTTGTGTATGCAGATATCTTTCATTAAAACAGAGAAGTTTCTTTCTATTTCTGGTTTGCAAAAGTGGTTTTCTTTCTAATCAACCTAGGGGCAGGACAGGAATAAAGACACAGACGTAGAGAATGGACCTGAGGACACAGGGTGGGTGAAGGGTAAGCTGGGACGAAGTGAAAGAGTGGCATTGACATATATATACTACCAAATGTAAAATAGCTACTGGGAAGTAGCTGCATAGCACAAGCTTCTGTGCTTTGTGACCACCTAGAGGGGTGGGATAGGGAGAGTGGGAGGGAGATGCAAGAGGAAGGGGATATGGGGATACATGTATACATATAGCTGATTCACTTTGTTATACAGCAGAAACTAACACAACATTGTAAAGCAATTATACTCCAATAAAGATGTTAAAAAAAATAGATGTCAAATTGTATCAAACGCCATTTGTATCTCTTAATATTTTTTTTATTTTGAATGTAATGATTTGCATTAATATATTTTGAATTTTGAATCAGCCTTGAATACCTTAGATAAATAGCTTAGATAAATCCTTCTTACTTATGACATTTAAAAAATACATTTCTGGCATTAGTAAAGTGTTACTAATACCAATACTTAAGATATCTGTATATGTGTTCATAAGTGAGTGTACGCTTTTCTTGCCAGTTTTAAAATTCAGGCCATGTCAGCTCCAATGTAAATGAGTTAGAAAACTTTCTATTTTTTCCATGCTTTGGATTAACTAATTAATATACCATAGGGATTATTTGTTCCTTACTTATAGAACCATCTTTGTTTGGTGACCTTTTATGAGAGAGCTTTGACTATGCTCTCACTGTTTTTATTGTTGTTGTTTTAAGGTGACTATTTCTTCATGGGTCAATTTTGGTGATTTCTATTTTCCAGAAATTATTTTAATCTAGAATTTTCTAATTTATTATCTTAAATTTTGTATTCATCTCAGATTTTTTAGAATCTACTCTATACTTATAATGTCCCTTTCTTATTTCAAAGGTTGATAATTCTGTCTCTCTTTTTTTTTTAACCTTGATTAAACATTCTAGACTTCTGATATTTTTGCTTCTTTTCAGATGATCAGTTTTAATTTTATTCAGATTAACTCTACTCCTTATTTCATGCATTTCTGGTTTTTTCTTTAGTAATACTTTCCTTATATATTTTTATTTTTCTTCTTTTAGCTTCTTGAACTGTATGCACGATTTACTTCCATTCAATCTTTTCCTATTTTCTAATGCATGCATCCAGGGCTATAAGTTTTCTCTGAGTATGTATAGATTTTGAATTGTATTGATCTCATTGTTCTTCTTGTCGTAGCAGTTAAATATACTGGCTCTGGACTATACTATCTAGGTTCAAATCCCAACTCTGTCATCTATGGACTATGTGCCCTTGGGCAGGTTATTTAACAGAGCTTTGTGTTTCAGTTCTTCATCTGTGAAATAGATGATAATGGAATCAACTTCTCAGGATTATTGTGATAATAAAATGAGACAATCCAGGTGGATCACTTACCACAAAGCTGGTTGTATAGTAATGTTTAATAAATTTTTGGTATTGTTATGTTTAAATAATTGATAGCTTCAGTTTACATTTCTTTTCATTAAAGTTATTCTAAGTTAAAGTTATTTAAAGGTGTGGGTTTTTTATTTCCAAGTTACAAAAATTGTATTCTTTTGTACTAACTCCAAATTTTATTGCAGTGTGATCAAAGAATGTGACCTGAATGATTTCTTATCTGGGAATTTATTAACATTTTCTTTTCTCTCTTTGTTTTAGAAAGTAGTTAATGTTGCATGTGTGTTAGAAGAGATCATGCATTCACCATTTATTGTGTACAGTCCTTTACACCTATTCAGTCAAGTTTCTTTATTGTGTTATTCAAATTCTCACTACGCTTGCTTCCTTTTTTCCTACTTTATCTGTCAATTTCTGGGTTGAAGTCTTCCAAAATAGCTGTGTATTTTTCATCACTACCTGTATTTCTATCAGTTTTTACTTTATATGTTATATTATAAACATGACTTTTGATGTTATATTGTTAGGTTTGTAAAGGTTCATTATTAATTGACCTTTTAGAACTTTCCTCTTATCTCTTCATCACACCTTGTCTCTGCCATCTTTATGCTGCATTCATCCAAAACAGGGGTGGCAGGCAGGCTAAATCTGTCCTGCTGCCTGTTTTGTAAATAAAGTTTTATTGGAACACAAACAGGCCCATTCAATTACATATTATCTATGGCTGCTTTCACACTATAGCAGCAGAGCTGAGTAGTTAAGACAGAGTCTGTATGGACCACAAAGCTGAAAATATTTACTCTCTGGTCTTTTACAGGAAAAGTCTGCCAGCATCTAACTAGATTTTAATTTTATGTTACTAATTTTTAAACACAGGCCATAATTAGACAAGTTAACTAGTTTCTTTCCTTTCCACTGTTTCTTGAATATCTTCACCTTTCTTGGATTCATTATTTATTTTATTAAAATTCATCCAAAAGTCAGTTATCCTTTCAAGGAATTTCTATTGATGATACACATCTGGGGAGTTTTCTTATTTTGAAAATCATGTTTTTAACCCCTAAGATCACTGTTTGCTTCCTTTCCACTAATGTAATAATGTCCTAATCTCTTTGAAGATAACTGTTAATTTGTAGCAAGTATATATTTTACTTATAGTTATATTTTTCTTAAAATAAGATGAAATTTATACTTACTTTTCATTTATCTTTCCACAGGTATTATTTCAGTATTTACTGAGTTTGTTGCCTCTACAAACTTGGGTTATTCTTACGTTGATTAATCTTTTACTTTGTAAATGAAAATTCCTTTTAGTGCTCTACTTCTTCTTAATGTGAGTTGACTCCGGTGATTATAGGAGAAGGGAAGGACATACTGCTGGGCAGAGTGATTTCAGAGCGAGGGGTCTCCCTGTCCCTCCTGGAGTCCATTGCTATTATTCTATCTTTGGCTCCCAGGACCCACAGGCTCACTGCTTTAATCTGGGGACAATTCTAAGCAGGAAAAGGGAAGGAGATCAGCAGTCCAGCTGCTCCAACTGCTATATCTTCATTCATTACTCTGGTCGTTATGCTAGCACCCTCTACGCACTGAATCTGCTCTTTCTGAGATGGGAGCAGCCCTGAAATTGCTTCTAATCCTTTAGCAGTCTTAAGCTTAGGAGTATTTGAGGTTCAGGTGCTCTAATTTGTTTTTCCAAGAAAATTTTCCAAATTTTCTGATACACTGATGACACTTTTTTGTCCCCAGTCCTGTTACCAATTATTCCTCTCCCCCTTCCCCTTTCCCCCATCTCTCAACCTTTTCTGTCATTTCATAAGATTTGGTAGAGGTAAGCTTCCTTCAGTCTGACGTCTTGATTTAATCTTCAAACACAGGATTTTAAAACTAACCCTTTCAAAACACCATTAAATATAATTTATTTGTGGGTGGTAACTTATTATCTTACCATTTTTAAAATTTCAAAACATTTAAAAATATACTCAGAAAGAGCATCTACGACACAGAAAGAACATTGAAGCCCTACTCCAACAGCATCTCTGAGGGGACTCGAAATGAGAAAACGATGTTCACCAATTAGAGTGAAAAGGGGTACTTAGTCTTGAGTCACTTGCCTTTAAAAATAGCTTCGGTGGTCCATTCAATTAAAAAGTGTTCCTTCATGGGGGTGGGAGACACCGGTTGCTGCAGAGCTGTAATCATTTAGCATTTTCTGCCTGATAACAAATGACACATTAGGCAGCAATCAGTGACATCTGTGACATATTCAGTCAGAAAAATCTGACTAACAAGCTCATCCTGTTTTGGAATGCTACCCCCAGCCTGCCATACCTCAATCCCTGCCTGCCAAGCAGCCTGTTCAGTTAGCCTGTTTATGAGCTAACTTTTAACAGTTTTTAATTTAAGGGAACTCTACCCAGAGCAGCTGGAAAACATAAACCCTGACGTCCCCCTCCCTCAATCACACACAAACACGTTATCTGGGCTCTTAAGTCCCCGGGAAGAGTAGCTGGTCTCATTGGGCTTTCTTTCGGGACCTCAGAAGGGATACATATGGATGTGAAATTCCTATGAATACTCTGAGGTTCCTCAATTGATTATTAACACCTTCCCTTCTTTCTCCATTTCCAGTGTTGGGTTTATTTGCAGGGGTTGCCTCTGTACATTCTCAGAACTCTCTGAGACAGCATTAGATGAATCTCAAAATTTTCTCTGCTTGGTGTAGGCCAAAAATTTTCCCCTTGCCATTAATGATGCCTATCTCACTATCAACTGTGCCCCAATTTCAACCTGGCAGGGTTTGAATGTCCTTCCACACTGATCAAAAAATCTCCTGTGGCAGCTGCCTCAGGTGCAGTGTGGCTTTGGATGACTAAGACCTGTGCTTTAACAGATTTTCAAGTGGTGGCACACGGTCCCTCGGCTGCTGGCCCATTTGATTTTCAGGGCCCCTGTTACTGTCAAGGTCCTTGTCCTCCACCATCATCCTATGTCTTCCCTTCCCTTCTCCACCTCCTCAGGAATATGCAGGAAATTCACATTTATTTGGCTCTTACGAAGTATAAAACATTGTGCTAGGTATTTTCACAAATATTTTTCATCAAACATTCAGCATAACTATGTAAGGGAGTCCTATTTCCCCACTTCTACCACTTTGAAACCAAGGCTCAGAGAGTTGTGAGGGACTTGTCTGGGACTACAAAAGTGGCAAGGGGTATGGCTGGGATTTGGGTCCTGGACTCTCAGCTCCGAAGCCCAAGGGATGTTCCTGAGAGTAAGCCTCAAGCCTGGCCTGTCCAAGAGTGTGGATCTGAATTCAGATGAGAAACTGGAGGCTGAAGGGAGAACGTAGCTGACTCTTCTACTTAAAAGGAAGAGGGGGCTTCCCTGGTGGCGCAGTGGTTGAGAGTCCGCCTGCTGATGCAGGGGACACGGGTTCGCGCCCCGGTCCGGGAAGATCCCACGTGCCACGGAGTGGCTAGGCCCGTGAGCCATGGCCACTGGGCCTGCATGTCCGGAGCCTATGCTCTGCAACAGGAGAGGCCACAACAGTGAGAGGCCCGCGTACCACAAAAAACAAAACAAAACAAAAAAAAGGAAGAGGGCTGGCCAAAGTACCTTTAAAACTGGTGAATCATAGCACCAGATGTCTAGCTGAACAGACAATATTTGGCTGCTTGGGAAATTTTTGTATAGTCACAGAGACATGAATTTTAAGTATGAATTAACTAAGTTCTTAGTACCTGCACTATTATTACGGACAAGCTATTGAGTTTTCTTATTAGCCCATTCTGCTTTTTCCTGCATCCTGCCTTTTTTTTCTTGGCCTAAACAAAAGGAGTTCTCTCTAACTCAATAATTCAATTCAACAAACATTTATTATTTGGCTACTTTATGGTAGGGACTGTACTATATGTAGGAGATACAGAAAAGAATAAAAACATAGGGCTTCCCTGGTGGCGCAGTGGTTGGGAGTCCGCCTAACAATGCAGGGGACACAAGTTCGTGCCCCGGTCCGGGAAGATCCCACATGCCGCGGAGTGGCTGGGCCCGTGAGCCATGGTCGCTGAGCCTGCGCGTCCGCAGCCTGTGCTCCGCAACGGGAGAGGCCACAGCAGTGAGAGGCCCGCGTACCGCCAAAAAAAAAAAAAAAAAAATTATAAAAACATACATCCTAACCACATACAGTTCACAGTACTTGGAGCCAACGGTGGGGAGGGTAAGTACAAGAAATTGACAAGTAAGCCTACAATTACCATATAATGAGATAGTGTCTTTGACATAAGGTTGTGTGAGGTCCTAAAGGACCACAGAAAAGGGACAGCTAACTCATCCTGGGTGCAGGTGAGATGAGGAATGGATAAGGTAAGACTTTCAAGAGGACGCAATTCTTGACATTTAATTGAGCCCTTCAGATGGTCAAGACCATAACCGCATGTGTAAGAATCTTTTGGAAGAGAGAGATCCACCCTAAAGTAAGGTAGCAATGGAAACCTTCTCCTGAGGATCTGAGGAAATAAACCACTTGCTAGAACTGCATTGGAACCTAAATGGACTTTTAGTTCCCTAGCTCTCTTCAAGTCTGTATGAAGTCACTTAGACTTTCTGCTCCTTGGTTTCTGGTCAGTTATTCTGGATTTCCCCAAGGCCTGGCCAATAATCTGCTCTTCCTCATTTGTGCCCTCTTACTCTGGAGCTCCATCAAAAAATCTCCCCAGTTTCTATCCACCTCTGGGCCTATTGCTCCTACCATTACTAAGCAACTATCTTATCTTCTGAAAGCCTTTTCTGCTTGTCTTCTCACAGTTGCCTCTTACTTATTCCCTCTACTGGTTGCTGCTGCTTAATGCTTTCTGAGGTCTGCCTCGCTTGTGTCTCTTAGCTACTTTATTTTTACCGCTAACTGCCTAACTGTCTCTCTTTATCATATTCATATTCTCCAAGAAAGGAATCAATTTGTTAATTAATTACTAACCTCTTCCTTGAGCAAAGACCTTATATTTAGCCAGCTCACAGGTCACTGCCCAGCCAGGGGATTGGTTGCCCTTATGTTGGATGCTGAGCCCTGTTCCAACCACAGACCCAGGGTTACAAGTGACAAGGATGGAGGCTTACATCAGCTGAGCCCTTTAGAAGGTAGCTACAGAAGGCAGAAATCTGAGAGCTTGGCCAACTCAGGAGAATGATGCTAATAGGTACATTAGAGGCACTATAAATAGGAAAAACAAAAGATTTTTTAAAAACCCATACTAACATCAAACCACAATTCTTGGTACAACTTCAGGTAATGGGGGCGGGAGAGAAGGATGAAGAAAAACAGGAAGTTCCTGGGAGTATGTATATTTATATACAAAAAAGAGCAAAGAAAATAAATATACCCAAGGAAAGGACACAAGTTGGCCTACTTCATAGGAAAGGATCTTTCCTGAGGTTCCTAAGAAGAAAGTCCAAAGACTTCCTCCTCTTCTCAAATACATGAGGGATGACATAAAGAGTGTAGTGAATGTGACTGTTAGTTTTATGTGTCAACTTAACTAGGCTAATGTACCAGTTATTCAATTAAATGCTAACCTAGGTGTTGCTGTGAAGGAATTCTGTTAGATGTGGTTAACATCTACAATCATTGGACTTTAAGTAAAGGAGATTATCCTTGATATTCTGGGTGGACTCCATCTAATCAAGTGAAAGGCCTTAAGAGCAAAACTAAGGTTTTTCCTAAGGAAGAAGAAATTCCACCTGTAAACTGCAGCACCTGTTCCTGCCCAAGAGTTTCTGGCCTGTCAGCCTGCTGGCCTGCCTTACAGAGTTTGGACCTATTAACCCGCACAATCAGGCAAGCCAGTTCCTTTAAATTATATATTATAATAGAATAATTACAATAAATATTGTGATAAATATGTGATCATAATGAATATTACAAGAAATTTATAATATATCCTACTGGTTGTTCTCTGATACAACCCTGCCTTATACAGCGAGGACAGAAGCAGAGATTTGGAATTTGGTACCCAGCACAACCTTTATCATCAGCTATTCACTCCGGTTAGGCCAGTCTCCCGTTTGACTCTTTAGTCATGCTGATTTTCCTGCTTCTGTTCACACTGCTTTTCCCTTCTGGCTTGCTGACATTCTCTCTCCCACTTTCACAAACTTCTTCCCTTTCCTTACACTCCAACTCTGTCCGAAGCCCTCCGTGAAGCCACCTCTGTTTTACTTTTTTTTGGTCCTCCGTGAAGCCACCTCCATTTGCTCTTTGCTTTCTCTTAACTCCCTCAGCAGTTATTAGCTGTGCCATTCACTGTGATGCTTAATCTTACACATCTCGCTTAACACTGCTTTGTATATAGTATCCACAACTAGTTAGGTTTAAAGCTGTAAGTACAAATTTGGGCATGCAAGAAATGTCACGTTTCTTTATTGTGTTTAAATCAAATTAAATTCACGTCAGACTTAAATGATCCCAGCCTTAATTCCACTGAAGTAGAAGGAACTCCAATCCCAGTTATTACTGGGCTTCCCTCCGTTCTTCCCTAGAAATGCACTAGAGTCTGGAAGATTTATGTTGAGCCCAGAAAATGGGGGAAGATGGACTTTGACAACTTCATTGTTCAGGAATACATGGTCCCTAGAAGCCAAGCAACAGCTCTGCTCACAGACCAAGAGTGGTAGGGCGATCCAGCCTCCATAGGGTCACCATGCATCTGTCTGAGGTCTGGCTATCACTTGGGGTGATCGAGGAAACAGGGCTGGTGTCCCCACTACTGCAACCCTGAACTTTGACTCTCTTCCAGTTTGGGAAATTTTTTCATTTGCAACAGTTCCACCTACGCACAACCCCTCCTTCCTTCTCTCTCTTTCCTCCTTTCCCTCACCAGATGCCCCTACCTCTTGAACCCCCTAGCAAAATCCCTCTAGGAGCAAGGAACCTGGAAGGCAAATTGCTGGGCACAACTCCAGGGGTAACAGCATCCTAAGGAGTTGTGGTCCAGGAGGCTTCAATTACAATGTGAGTGGTGCCCCCTGGAATGGTCTAATATGGAGCTCCTGTAAACTTCTTTCTGCCTAGAAACACAAAACTCCCTTGAAGCATGTTTGGAATGGAGAGGAGGGAAAATATAAGGGGAACATAAACCAAATTAATAGCTCAATAAATTATCCTGGCACACACTTATTTTTTTGTTTGTCCCCTGCATTTTCACTTCATGTTTAAAAATAT